TTTATCGTGTGACGTGAAAGCTGTCGTCTTCTACGTCCAACATGTTCATGTTGGACGAACACTGAGTAGTCGTTGGACGGACTAAAACGTTCTACCAGGTGTAACGGGGCGCCCTTCGTCTAGGTGCCATGAAACTTCACGTGCACTAGTACGTGCAGAGGAAGCTTAGCTACTTAACCGACTCGTTCAAGTAAGGTAAAAAGAGAACTGTCTTTAACATAGTTAAGCTACCAATAGAACTTCGGTCTTTATCTAACTATGTTAAATCTACATTGTCGTATGACAAAAACATTCTCACCACTCATCGCGCGCGTCTAGCAGCGGTTGGTGATAACCTAGGTTGATATGTCTTTTATGAATTAATATTCGAGCAGCGCATGAATGTTATCCTACAAAGGGGATAAAATTCTTTCAGTAATACTCAGCTCGAATAATATTGGTAGAATATTGTCACGCTAGACAATCTCTCCCATTGACACCGTTTGGTGTCAATATTATGCAACGGGCAACCCCGTTCCAGCATCTGATCAAGTGATGGAGAATGTTTCCGTGCCATCGTCACCTCAACAAGGTTTTTACTTCACAGCAAACAGCCACTGATGTCGTGCTCCGTCTATTTCCGGTTCATGGTGTTGGTTTAAGTGACGTGCAGCTCGACACTCTGCAGCATGGGGCACGCAGTATTCAACGGAGAGGCTGTGCTGGGATTGACCAAGGGGGAGAAGACCGGCTAATGTATGGCCGTCAATTTGAGCCGCGATCTGTGGAATTATGATTGGTACCGCGACACTTGATTGATTTTACTGCTTTGCCCACGATGCCAGAAGATCGTGTTACTCAGTTTAGACCGCGAGCTGATGAATTGGGGGGTGATCATTCATATGGTCTTGATACCTCGGAGCCAGATCCGAAGCGGCTTCGCCTTACGGATGTTTAAGATATTGCATTGGCAGTTATGTAGATTCGTCGCACTTACCAAGAAGCTTTTGCATCTCCTGACGCAGCCAAATGGAAAGAAGCCGTTGACCGGGAGATCAAGTCGCACCCCTCTAACCATACGTGGGATGCTGTAAGTCGTCCACATAATACTCTAGTAATTAATTGTAAGTGGGTATTAGATGCCGATGGGAATGTTGTTCGGTGCAAAGCGCGTCTCGTAGCCCAATGTTTTCGTCAAGTATATGGTGTCGATCATTAGAAGACATATTTGCCGAGAGCTGGTCTCAAATCGGTGCGTACGTTCCTGGCTGTATGCTGTCAGCACGGCTACGTGTTTCGTCAACTAGAAATGGAGACTGCTTTTCTCGATGGCAAGTTCGATGCGCAAGTTTACATGCGCCCACCAGAAGGAACCTGTATGCCGGAGAGCACAGTATGCAAGCTACGCCGTAATTTGTATGGCCTAAAGCAAGCGGCTGCTGTTTGGCACAAAACAATTTGCAAGGTGCTGAAGGCATTAGGGTTTAAGCCGTGCATCGCTGACCCGTGTATATTTGTTTGCCAAGTATTTGGAAGGAATGTGGTGTACATTATGCTCTACGTGGATGATCTGTTGATCGGATGTGAGAGCAACTCGCAAGCTACCGAAATTAATTGGAACTCGTAAAACAATTAAAGATTAAAGATCTCGGTGATGTTCGCTTAATCCTCAATATTAAGTTAATTACAATCGAGAGTGTGGATTACTTCACATTCGTCAATCGCAGTATATTGACAGATTTGATGAACAATTTGGTCAGCTTTCTTTGGTTTGCAAACGCAACCCGAACGTTTTGGATAGAACCATTGCGCAGGGGCCATGCTAATCTTTTATGTATGGTGGTGACAGGCAGCAAAAGTATCGGGAATTAATTGGGTCTCTGCTCTACAGTGCTGGTGCGTCACGCCTTGACATCTGTGTGTCAATTTGTGAACTATCGCAGTACCTTGAGTCGACAACCCAAGCTTACATGAAGGCCGCAGTGCGTGTGCTGCGTTATCTCAAGTATCAAACTCGGTATATGTTACAAGCGTGGTGACATAGATGGATTTGTGCCCACTGTATTTGCTGATACGAGCTGGGTGTAACGGGGCACCCTGAAGCTTGTGCTGGTGACAGTACAAGCTACTTATTCTGATGACAGAATTAGGCGGTGCCTCGTAACTTCACGTACACTCGTACGTGCAGAGGAAGACGGTAAGAAGAAGCGAGTACTTGGTTAAAGTAAAAAGTAGAACTGTATTTAGTATAGTTAATGTCTGCAATAAATCCCTATTTATCTTCATCTAACTATGTCTAAATACAAATGTGTAAATCAGTTATCTGCTCACCACTCATTGCGTGCGTCTGTCGTGGCGCGTCTTCGTTGGTTGATATAATGGCCTATATCAACCAATTAGGAACTACTTGTAAGTGCTACAGAATATTTGTCCTTATGACAATATTCTGAGAATATAACTCTTATAGTTATATTCTATTGACAATTTCTTATAAATTGTTATGAAATGATTCACCCCGTTACATCACCCCCCCTTAACCATCAGTCACTTTAGTGACTGATTGACTAAATGGATACTCGTCCCAAATCATTTGGGACAGGGTTTGCACTTGTTGGTCCGAGTCCACTTTCCAACATCTCATCGCATGGTAAACAAGCCCATGCGATGCGTGAGCAAGGCCGCCGAGAGCGCGTCCGCACGTCTCTGTGCGGACGTCGAAGCAGAAACCACAGCAACTGATGTCTCACCGGTTGCTGAAGCGACCCAGCTTGTGTTACTTGGTGATGCAGGCGCTGGTCATGAAGACACTCATGTCTTCACAGAGTATGAGCTCGGTGTCTCGTACTCTCCTGATACGGAAGACGGATCCGTATCGACGGCGATCGAATCCAAGCCGCCTGCCAAGCGTGGCAAGGATGATGCTTTGCGTCGTAGCATCTTTGGTTCATCTGATTCATCAGATGAACCATCGCCGAAGCGAAGGCGCTCGAGGTCGCGAGACTCGGGCGCTAACAGTGGTGTCGGTTCTCCTATGGACACCACTTCACAGCGAGGTGCCAGTACTTCTGTCGGCACATCGCAGGAAGAGCGGGACCGCAATGTGTTGCGTCTCGCTCCTGAGAAGGAGGCATGGATGCCTCCCAAATCCGTCATGGATCACTTGTCGGCAACAACGAGTGATCGTTATCGAACACGATTGTTCGATTCGTCAGGGATCCATCACCTTGACCCCAGCGCGAAAAACTATCGCGCTGAACACGAATTCTTCATCGATGCTTTCTTTAGACATCGATGGTACAGTGGGAATCACAAGCGTGATGGTCCCTCACTGCTTCAGGCGTGGAACGCCTACATCCATTACCTTGAGGATGTAGGTCGTGACGCTTGGAACGACAAACTTATCAAAGCTCGTGATAAGTTTGAAAAGCGAACCCCGACAGGTGCACGCTACAAGCTGCATCGTCTGTCAAGGGAGAAGGGATTACCCTGCCTCTCTTGGGGAGACCCGTGCCCATGTTGTGTGAACAACTCTGCACGAGCACCTAAGGAGGCTTACCTCCTTACCAGCCCGTGGTGGCGCGTACGTGTCTCTACTGAGATGTACGAAGGGATTGACAACCTGAAATCCCTTTACGACCGTGCCGGGAAGACTTTCTCCGGCGGTCCTTCTGCGGCACAGGATGTGCCGCGTCGTACTGCTCAACCAGACCCAGTACGTCGATCATCAGTTGGGAGCGGGGCTCCCAAGAATCCCAGGACGGGGGATAGCCGCGCCACCGGACGAGGTAACTCGTCCAACGTCCGTTCACGTTGCGGTGGTTCAACAGCTGCTCAACTAGATAGCGCTGGCCACCGCGAGAGTCCTCTAATGGAGGAGGAGGAGGAGGAAAGACGCTCTCCACACGATCATGTGGATCGGTGTGTTCCCGAGAGCTTCTTTGATCGCGTAACGCTAGAATTACGCAACGATCTCGAACATGAGCGGGACAGGCGTCTCCAAATGGGGACACTGTCTCGAAGCATCGAGCTGAATTTGCCTTTGCTCAGCTTGAGAACGAGAGATCTCTGACATCTCTTCGTGACGAGCTAAGGGTAGCTCGTGGGATTGTTGATCGGTCTCGGGATGAGATGGCTGCTCTTCGGACCCTTGTCGATGCCCACCATCGGGAGCACAAGGCTCTCTGCGAGATGCTTGAGCGCAAGGGCGTTCTTCATCGGAAGAAGCAGCGTACTGATGGTACGGCTTAAGCCGACCAACGTAAAACGTAGGATGCGTTCGCATCTTACGTGGCAACTCGATCGTGTGTGCATTGCCTAGGCGGTGCAATACACGAAATGTGCAGATGTACTTGGGTAGTAGTTTACTGCTACCCAAGTTATCCACTACATGCTTAGGTAGATTAACCGTATCCAGTAGGACTAAGTCCCCTTCATTAAATAAAAGAGTGTTTGACCTTCCATTCTTGTCAGCGTTTTGCTTTTGCTTGTCCACCGCTTCGGCGATGGAGTCTTGCACAAAACGGACTACCGTTTCACAAGCCAGTATGAACTCATCTGATGAATCGTTAGCTTCAGTGCGCTGTGAGTGCACTGCAGCAACATCAACCTTTTCTTCAGTGAGGGCTTCCGCACTCTCACTGGCATCATCTTCTTCAGTGAGGGCTTCCGCACTCTCACTGACATCATCTTCTTCGATATCGATGTTATCGATATCGGCATCAAACGCAATGACCTCTTCGTCAGAGCGTGATGAGCGTGAACCAAATCGGTTTTTGCTCGCGCAAGTCCCTCCCCCCCTTAAAACCAGAGTTACACTCTAGTAAGGTGGGTACACGCGGATGGCGCAAGCCATTCACGTAAAATGGTGTATGTGTCGTGGACGCATGCACCGAGTTGTTAATGGCAAACTCTGCCATTGGCAAAAAAACTCACTCCAACTCTTAAAGGAGTGTACGTATCCTCGAAGTATCTGTTCAAGGACACGGTTGGCACGTTCCGTCTGACCATCTGACTCTGGATGATCAGATGTCGACATCTTCAAGCGCGTTCCGAGTGATTTGAACACGGAGCGCCAGAAATCGGCAGTGCGCGTGGATCTCTGTCTGATACGAGTTCACGGGGCAACCCATGAAGTCGGAAGATGGTGTCAAGAAAGACACAAGCACAGCCACTCGCCGTGATTGTCTCTGGTACAGCCACAAGGTGTACCATTTTGCTGAATCTGTCAACAAATACGAGAATACCCGTATTCCCGCGTGCGTCTTTGGGTAACCCGAAGACGAAATCCATTGAGATGGATTCCCAGCACTCAGCCGGAACCGGTAGAGGCTGTAAAGGTGCACGCAGTGAAGGAATTGACTTCACTCGTTGACAGACTTCGCATGAGCGAACGTACTTTTGCACAAACTGATACTGGCGGGGCCAGTAAAATTCTCGACTCACCGTGAGATATGTTTTCTCTCGGCCACGATGTCCTCCTATAGGAGCATCGTGATACTCGAACATGATCCGCAAACGCAGATCAGTGTCATCTGGAATGACAACACGTGGTGTGTCACCAGAAACGGCTGTATAATACAGTAAACCGTTACGAGTAGTGTATCGATCTGATGCAGATCGATACGCAGACGACAATCGTTTCAACGATTCTCGAGATGGTTGGGAGAGATGTGTCAACAACTTCACAATCTCACCATCTTGGGCGTATGCCCGCCTCACATCAGCATACAATGTTGTAGATGGGACTGAGGACGTCATAACCGCAACAGTGGTTGTGTCACTGTTGGGTTTCGCGACTGGTTCAAAGTCGGGACGACGTGAGAGTGCATCAGCAACGACATTGAGTCGTCCTGGTTTGTACTCGACCGTAAAGTTGTATTCCGCAAAGAATGACAACCACCGCGCCATTCGTTGTGAAAGGTGCGGGCTGTTCACTGCCGTGCGTAATGACGCATGGTCAGTGTAAACAATGAAGGGTCTATCTCCTAATAGATAGACTCTGAACTTCGCGAGTACATACTTCATGGCAAGGAGTTCCTTGTCATGCACTGGATAGTTCCGCTCAGCTGGTTGCAGCTGACGCGACTGATAGCAGACGACGCGTTCAACGCCTTCAAGATCGTACTGCATAAATGCACAGCCGATTGCGAAATCGCTGGCATCACAGACCACATGAAATGGCCTGTCTTGATCGGCTATTGCTAGGACTAGGGATTGTTTCAAGCTCTGCTTGATACCATCAAAGGAGCGCTGACATTCAGCGTTCCATAACCACCTCTCGATCTTTTTCAACAAACGAGAGAGGTGCACAGTCATCTCGGCGTAATTGCGTGAATACTTGTGCAAATACGCCGCTAGCCCAAGGAATTTTTGAAGACCTTCGACATCGACCGGCACGGGCCAGTCGGTGATCGCCTTGATCTTTTCGGGATCAGGACGTACACCGTTCTTACCAACGATGCACCCAAGAAGTGGTATTTCGCTTGCTGCAAATATGCACTTCTTGAGGTTAGCATACAATTGATGCTTTCGCCTGATTGTAAGAACCTGTCGGAAGTGGTACCTGTGAACCTCAACGTCCGACTTTCCATCCATAGCTCGACTATGGATGAATACGTCATCGAAATAACTCGGCGCGAATTCTCGTACTGGTCTCAACAGATGTGATACACATCTGTTGAACGTGGCAGGGGCATTACTAAGCCCTTGTGGCATTACTAGCCATTCCCAGAGCATACCGCTAGGCGTGCTAACTGCGGTCTAGGATACATCCCGTTCTCGCATAAGGATTTGATAGAAGCCATCCATCAAATCCATGGACGAAAAGATGGTACTCTTTGACATACCACCAATGATTACGTCCTTCCTCGGTATCGGCGTCTGAGCCGGTACCGTTGCAGCATTCAATTTGTTGAATGCATGCACTATCCGCCACCCTCCTGTTGCTTTTCGCACACAGCAGGTCGGAGACCTATGTGGGGAAGTTGATTCCCTTACATGGCCCGCAGCTAAACGATCGGCAAAGAACTTGTCGATCACAAGTACTTGTTCACATGGCAGTGGCCACTGCTTCATGACACAGTGCGTCGAGCCTGGTTTAAGCTCGACCTCGTGTCGAATACCTTTTTCCTTCGGTAATTCGCACGGAACAGTTTCAGGGAATACATCCTCGAATTCAACCAAATCTTCATAGAGAGGATTTGTCTTGAGCGATTCCCACGATTGGGAGTCATATCGCTCAATTCGTGTCTTTTCATCTAGGACACTCTCGTCCATCGATGAACTACTGAAAACTCTCTCGTTCTCAGTAAACATTGTTGCTGACCTTATGTCGGCTACACACTCGTCGTCAGCGACGAGTACGCAGATCTGCTTGACTTTGCCACTACGCAGATCACGCAAGAACCTTTTACGTTCGAGCGTTGGCAACTGAGTGATCTCCGAAGTCAACTTCGGAGGCGCAATCAGATCAAGTGTATAAGCGCCTACACTTGATCCGTTATTGACTATGACATTCAATGTCTCTGTCATTTCCTGGGGAATTATTCCCTCAGGCTTCGAAGGACTTATTCCTTCGGCTTCCCGGGGACTTATTCCCTCGAGTGTCGGGTAACTTATTTCCGCCGTATTTGTAACCTTGGGACTTATTCCCTTTACTTCCTCTAGCTGGGGTTGCGCAACCACAGCGAGATCCTCTACGGAAGACTCTCCAATCGATCTAGGATTATCGTTTCGCTTAGCCTGAGCGATCGATCGTTTCTCTTCTAGATATTCCCCGCTAGGGATACATCTTTGTCCCGGTCCATCCGACTTATTCGAGTGGTGGACCTTCGGCGCAGCCTGTGTTTCCTCACAGCCGCCGGAACTTTGCTCCGAAGTGTAACAGTTGTCACACTGAGGTTTTGTGCAGTCGTACTAACGACCGTACCACAAATGAGGCCATCGCACTCACTCGTAGTACATCCACACGCTTGTGGACGCTCCAAAACGTTCATCAGATGGCCATCTGATGAACAAGCGGCAGGCATCGTTACTGTTCGATGTTGCCAGTTTACCCGTGGTTCGTACCTTCTGAGCCACGGTATTCCAAGGATGACATCAAATTTGTCATCCAAATCCAATACGATAAAGTCATCATCATATTGGGTATCTTCTAGCGTATAGTGGATCTTCACTATACGCTTCATGACGGTTACGGATGCGCCTGTCGCAAGACGTACCGTCATCCTCGTAGGAGGTGTGTCACATTTACTGAACTTAAAGTGACCATCTTCTAGCGATTGGCTTCGCGCAAAATGGTTGGACGCCCCACAATCGACTAGAGCTCGAAGGGACAACTTATTCGTCACTTCGAGTTTCAAGGTAATGAGTGAGATCTCATTACCTAGAGCAGCAACGCACAAAGTTTGTGTGTTGGGAGCAACCTTCATCAAGAGGCCTACAAATTCTCTTGACGTTGCTGGACCAGTAGGGTGCTCCGCACCTACTGATCCTGTCCGTTTTTTGACGGTCCATCCCGTTGTTGCGTCTTTGCACCAACAGCGGACCCTCGTCCCTGCCCCTTTCTCATGGGTGGACGGTCACTACGCCCAGTGTTGCAAGACACTGGACGAGGGGCACTACACTCGTAAGCGTAGTGTCCTGTATTTTGACATCTGTTGCATTTCTGCAACTTCTTGTAGTCTGTAGAGCGAGCCCTCTCGCTCTCTACATAGCAGAGTTTCATCGGTTCTGGACCTCCGTTGTCATATCGTCTCGGATGACGATATGATGTCGAGCTGGCGCGAGCCTGTCTCAGACTGACGTCTTCCTGCTTTGCAATGGAAATGGCTTGTTCTAGTGAATCTAGTTCAAGTCGGAACAGGTGAGTCTTGACGGGACCATCCGCAAGACCCTGCATGAACACCGAAACCAACGTGTGTTCATCCACCGGATTGGAACTTATACAACTCGTGAGATGTCGTATATGTTGAGCGTAAGCGTGCACATCACGCTTACCCTGCTTGAGCTTCAAGAGTTCGGTTCGAGCTCTGAACTCAGCTCTAGGCGATTCAAACGTTTGTCTGAGCCGCGACTTGAAGACTTCCAACGACCCAAACGCATATGGTTCGTGCAACTTGAGCCCCATTGCCCAAGTCTTGGCACGTCCTGCCAGATTTGACTGGGCAAATGCAACTTGCATTTCCCCGTCGTCGATGCGACGCGCCCTTATGGCGTCATCCAATTCGACGAACCATCTCAAGAGGGAGTCCTCTTCGACCCCCCTGTACTTGGAGATGTCAATCTTCAAGGTTTCGGGTCGACGCGAGTGTATCGACCCACCAGCAGCAGCCTGCTGCTGTCTCAACAGTTCAAACTGTTGAGCACCCTGTTCTCTTAACAACTCTGATTGTTGAGAACCTTGTTGGTGAAGCAAGGCTACTTTCTCGCGTTCTGCGTCAAGTTCATTTTGAATGAACTTGGCGATAGTAGCATGTTGGGCATCTCTATTGAGAGCCTCTAGCATGACGCTAACAGCATGGATGCCCATGGTCGAACCCATTCGTTCAACCGCATCCCATTCGACATCGCTCAAATGGGAGTAGCCGTCACGCGTAGCGTGAAAGCTTTTGTCATCTTCATTATCCAACATCTTCGTGTTGGATGTGAACGCGGTCCTTGGACGGACTACGAAGTGCTACCAGGTGTAACGAGGCACCGCCTTAATCTGTCATCAGAATAAGTAGCTTGTACTGTCACCAGTACAAGCTTCAGGGTGCCCCGTTGCACTGAGGAAGCGATTTGTTTACATGCCGATCGATGTCGGGAATACTTGTGCTTCTCTGCGGTGCTCCTGTTATCTACAAGTCCAAGCGACAGAGAACTGTGGTCTTTCTTCTGCCGGAGCCGAGTATGTGGCTCTATCTCTAGCAGCACAAAAACATTGTGGCTTCGTCATCTACTACGAGAGCTCGGCACACCCCAACTACCTGCGACCATCATGAACGTTGATAACCAAGCTGCGATATCGGTGGCAGAACATGCTGGTTACAAATCGCGTGCGAAGCATATAGACTTGCACTACCATTTTGTGCGAGATGCTATTCAAGACAATGTGCTTAAGATAAAGTATGTGCCTACTACTCAACAGCTTGCAGACTTCATGACGAAGTCACTACCTACGCCGCAGTTTCTTAAACTTGTCAAGCTTGGTGGAATTGTTGACGACCCCGAGACCAGCACTTGAGGGGGAGTGTAACGGATGGTGAGCCACCATCTGTTATAGATGCAAGTGCGATGGCTCATCTGTGTGCTGAATATTCAGACTGCATGAAGCTCCCTTTCTTCTGGATACGGATTCCAGAAGATTCGTACAAGGTAAGGAACTGATGGCTACAAAAGTAGGTTTGACATACTTTATTACATTAAATTTACTTCCACTTATTTTATCACGCAAACAAGTCTTGAGTCAAACCTCTGCATTCTATCACATTCTGCGACTTCAGCGCCCTGTCTGCACCCCGGACTGGATATCCGGTTCCACGTGCCGCTTGCGAAGTGTCCCCCGTGATGACCGAAGAGCCGAGTCGAGCAGACTAAGCCAGTGAGGAGAAGATGATGTAGTTTAGGCAGAAGCGCACAGATATCGTAAAGGGCACAAGCACTGAATCGACGTTCTGGATTTGCTAAATCTCTAGTACGCTTGTGTGTGTGGTATTCTTCAGATCATGTGCGCTGCAGTGTCTTCAGCCCTTGCACTTCACTAGTTCTCCGCAGCTGTTGTCAACTTCGAGGTCGTCATCACAAAGGCTTATATGTTTGGTCGCTATGCGATAGCGTGTCCACACTTGTTGCCAGTGAGTCCGTTATCGTGAATCTGGACTTGAAGGACACAGATGTGCTGCTGTGGATTCCCATCGACCAGTGGTCGTCTGCGCTTCCAAACGAGAAAGTCAAGATTGTAATGCTGGGCGTTACAGGATTTATGAACCGCGACTGCTTGTCCGGCGATCACCTTCCATAACCTAGCGTTGCCCACAGACCCGACATACTCTAACAGTATCTACAATACTATGCGCGATCGAAAAAAGCTGATTCGCATCCGGATGCTGTTCCGACAGTATCTGCGCACCATCGCGGGCGAGCTCGACAACTCTGATCTATCGCTTGGAAATGCCCTGTAGCTCCCTATCAGAGAGAAACTCATTTTGTCAGCAGATCGAAGCGCAGACTTATCCTGGTATTGACGTTCGTGTGGACATTCGAAGTGACGTATAGCGTATTCAGGCTGGGCAATTCCGTCTCAATAAAAATGTGTGAGATGCAAGTAGGATCGTTGTCACCTGTGATCGAGGTACAGTTGTGTGCTTGAAGCTTCACTTAGTGCTAAGAAGATTTCTAGCTGATGCTGTTTTGTCCGTGTAAGCAGATTCGGCCCGACCTTCCCACTTGGATGTCCAGTTCGTCAGATTCATGTTGAGCTCCTTCCCGCAATAAGCAGGGATCACCATATCACGGACCATACTATACTGACACTGCTATTGACTCAACGAAGCAGACGTAAAAAATCAGGAGTACCCGCGTCGCTCTCTCGTTCTATCTCTCTGTAGCTCCCAGTTCGTTTTTTGTGGTCTATTGCGCACATCCGTTCCAAACCAAACCATGAGGCTGTTCAACCACTTCGGGGTTTTTGTGGGCGCTTCGACTTTCGTCGTGACCGATCCCGCCGCGTCCTCCAGCGTGTCACTCGAGGCGTTGCGTGGCTATACCAAAGTGGAGCATGTTGCGAATCCAGCGGAAACTCACTTGATCAACGGAATGCAGGAAGATCGTGGCAAATCTGGTCCACCTTTGTTTTCGGAGGAATTGGCCAAACTAGCCAAGTGGACGGGGCTGAAGGGTGAATCGTCAAAGAATAAGGGCGTGGCATCCGTCGATGAAGTCCTCCGCGACGAGGTGATTGTACCTGTCAAGGAGAAGCTCGAGAGGGTATACACCTTTGGTCAAGGCTTCAACATCGCGGGAGAGCAAGAGGTGGCTCTCTCCAGAAACTCTGACGCAATCGCAGCCCCTTATAGTCATGCAAGCCCTATCGGAGAAAGCCAGCTGCTGGCCGTGTACGAACATTATCAGACGTTTGGCCAACAGCTCACGGACGACCAGATTCTTGGACTTCTGGATAGAGCCGCAACACCGAAAGATGTAGCTGAGATTCTGTGTGTGGCGCGACGATTTGGGACTGATAAAGCAAAGTGGGTTGCGGTGGCAGAAGCTCAGTTTGATTACTGGAGGATCCGGGAAAAAGATGCGAGCGCGGTAGCCAGGGACTTATTCAACGTTGCAGCTCTGGATTCTCCAGGGCTCGAGAAAAACGCGCTATGGCGAGACATCTTGGAAGAATACACGAAGTACATTAAGACTTGAACGACTCTTGGACCTCCAGAGCAGTACTTGCACTAGGATTTGCATTCCTAATGCACGTGGTGTGGCATTCGCAATACACAATTGATAATGTCCTCTTTCTTGTTGATACGTTGCCACATCCTCTTTTTTTGTCTGTGTTTTCGCCTCCTGTGGTCCTCCGCTCTATTATCCTACATGTAGACTCACGCGGAGAGTATGAATGAGGACCAAGTTTCGGCATGAAGCCCTCTATCATACGTAATGCGTACCTGCCGTGTTCCTGGCACAGATCTTAACTGAACTACGAACCATTCACAACACCATTGACTTCTGTAAGAAAGGACGCCGTTCAACATGACTTCCCCAAAATGAGTGAATTAAGTGCGGCACAAAGTGCAAAGTGGTTGGCAGCTTGAAAAGCGCAACTACAACGACGTCGTGTGCAAAGTCTATCTGGACGTCCGCTCAAGTTAAAGCAAATGCGTGACAAAAAGAGACCGACACATGAGTTGGAGCTGAGGAGACAGATTTCCGACGAAAATGTCCTGATATCAAAAGCAAGAAGATTGACGACGACAAAGTGCTGGTGACGATGCTGTCGAGGCAGTCGTTGATTAAAGATGAGGCGATTCAAGCGGTGTGTGGACGAGTCTAATGTGCATTGTTTCTTCCTGATGCTTCGTGATACTGCAGTGCAACTGTGTATCGTTCCTGTTTCCGTCTGCGCGTTGTGGATTCAGCACGCCATTGTGTTTGCACCGGTCTGGAATCAGACATGCCGATTTATGCCGCCAAACTGGGCAACCTCCGTCGTCGATCTTAATCTCAACAGCGACAATCTACGCTACTACAAGCTACTGGAAGGTGATGTCTTCCATGACCGAGTGTTGTTACGTGACCCGGGAGAGCAATTGTTACTGCGTGATCTTCCGGCGTGGTAAGGTGAGGGCCACGCTAGGGTTGTCCAAGTAAATAGCTTCGATGGAAGTCCCGCATGTTATTACAATTTGCCCTTGGTAGTTTACATGTGCTAGCGACAACCAGCAAGTACCGCATCGGCATTGTACGCTCTCGTGCTGCGTCTACAATGATGTGTATGTTGATGGGATCGTGGTTTAAAGGCTCCATCCTGCGACACTTTGGAAATGCTGCTGACCATGAAGAACTGGTTGGCGCAAGCTAAGAACTGAGAGGCTGAAATATCACTTGTTCGATGCTCCTGAGCGTGCTAAGGTGATGTACCTACAAGTGTGGTTGTGCTGGACTATAGCATGCGACTTGCCTCAATCGACAGTAAGCTACGTATGCTAGCACTTGGTTGTTCAGAAGGTATTTTACTGAGCATGGTGGATGAAGGCGAGGTGGTTGCTTTGCTGGTGGATGCCGCATACTAAAGCTGCCACAATAGAGTAAGCACAACATAGGCACCACACGCTTGGTTCCCATGGGAAAAGCAATCCAAGTATAACACTCGCTCGCAAACAAAGTCAAGCGCTCTTTCGTTATTGCGCCAGTGGATTCCAAACAATCTCGTCGATGTGCTTCTGGGTTTGACGGTATACGTACTGAGCCAAAATGTAAGAGGAAATATCTCGCTTACCGGTGTGGCGTTTTGGCATCGCTTGAATCATTTCAGTTACCCGCGTCAGTGTCTTCGCCCTCCAAAGTTACCGTTCTTAGATACCTTCTGCCCCACCTCCTACACGGAAGTCTATTTTTATTTGTCGTGTACCGTGTCATGCTCCATGTTAAAGTGGACAAGGAGGTTCAGGAGACAGGGAAGCCTCGAGACGTTGCTATACATACTGGTGTCGAAAACGTCGACATTGGTGAAGACAAACACGAGCACGATGATGGCGTTGAGAAGCTTTTGACTTGTCATCTAAGTGGAGCTACAAGAATTGGATGCAAAGCAAAAGTACATCTTCGTCATTAGAATCCTCAGGCTAATTTCGGCTCACATTAGGTGTTGGCCTTACATTGACACGTACGCTTGTAGCTTTCGACAGTGTCATTCATAGTGTCTGCCAAGACACATCGAGAGATACCATTAGGCCGTCTTAGCACAGTGCATTGAAAACTCGAGTTTTAGATGCGCGAGTGATGACTGAGCTGAATGCTCGTGTCATGACATTGTCAGGCAAGCGAGCGCTCAAAAAAGTATCTTCCAGCGAGTCGACAGCCATAAGACTGTCGCGACACATCGTTTCTTGCGGGGTATCCGGTGAGGTTTGCTCATCTGAAGACACGAGTGCAGCAATTAGGCTTACAATATAAAGGAGTCCCTAGCTACTCGGTCTGACTCCATGTCTCAATCGACTATTGCAGCCAGGTCCTCATCGTTGTTCGCCACGTTCTATTCGCTTTATGACAAGATCTTAGACTCGCATGGTTTAGAACGAGCATCTTGTTTTCGTTTACTCGGTTGGTACAAAGCGCATGGATCTGAGTCTTGCGGGCAGAGTTGGTGGCGATAGTTGATACTGATGCGTAACTGTAGCAACGTTGCTCATGGTGCTGTACAAATGTGCTCAATGAGCTACTGGTGGATCTAGGGGGCTACTTCTGTTGGTGATGTTGAAGTGGCTCGACACAACGAGATCGTGTGTCAGAATAAAGGCCACCTCTTCATTCAGTTGCTAAGGTCGTAAAATTAATATGAAAGGCGTAAAGGTAGCATCGCAAAACGAAGGGCCTACCTTACATAAATTCACGTTACATCCAACATTCTACTAGCTCTATAGCCTACAAAAAACCCTTAGCTGACCTCAAACTGCTTCAAATCATTTATTGGCTCGACTTACTGTCCGAGATCCAGGCGCTGTCCTAGCTTTGCAAGAACGCGACCACGGTCGTTGCCGTGAATTATTTTACAGTCAAACCCGCGTGTGTCTTGTTGCTGTAGTCAACATTTGTTGACTACAGTCAAGCCCCCATTTGTCTTGTTGTTGTAGTCAACATTTGTTGAAATTGATGCCTTTCTCTACCCATAACTCCCAGTCTATAGTTCCGCATTCTGTAAAAGGTACAAGCACTCGCTTCGTGTTAGTCCGAGATCAATCTGCCTTTCGCACTGTCAAATGCGCACTCCATCGAACTGAAATGGTGGTTTTTGATGTCAAATGATAACTTTGGGTGTTTCTCTGCCCTCAGGGTAGCGTGTCGATCATTCGGATGTTACACAGTCCGCTGAAAGCAGCAATCTAATGACTGGAACTGTGTGAGTCCGAAGGGTGAAGCTATCATGACAGCGCGCAAAGTGAATGCCGAGCTTTCAAATACTACTTTATTTCTGTGTGTCTGACTGTCAATAACACGAGGTGTACCTCGTCGACGCACTGAATGATGTTCAGCTTGTCCTTCCTTGTAAGTAGAAATTTATCATGGGTGTCACTTTTTGACCAGGACGCTAATGCGACCGCAGAGGGAGTGAACGTCACACACGCACCTACACACGCGCGTCATCGACTTAAAAGCGACCAAGGGTCAACAGAGGGCTAAGAAACGAATGCTCTACACTTATCGGCGGCAAAAATTCCGCACCCCCGGCAAATAGAAATGTGAAGGTTTTCGCGCGTCGTAATTGTCAAAGTGAAATGTAGTGAAGGTCTATGGTGACCTTCCTCTATCATTAGCAAAGAAAGCTACTGCATTTTCTTTCTTTTTTATTATGAACTAACTAATTGTCGTCGGCCGCACTTTGTTGTTGAGACTACCACCAAGTAGGATCACCCCTGTCTCTCTTGTCGGTTGTCGTCTCTTTTGAATATCGAAAACATTAACGCGTATAGTGCTCTAACACACAAGAATCCATCATAACTTTCAGGATTTACGCGCAAAGCATAACTCATTTAAGATAGAGGAGCAAGCTCTGGAGCTCGCCTTCTAATTTACGTAACCAGTTCATAGCACTGAATCGAGCGGCAAGACACTATACAATATCAGCAGCCCCTAGAGAAGGAGTATGATGCTGTAAATGTCTTTACTGTATCAACCCAGTACAGCATACTTGAACATCGCGATCAGCCTTTTCTTATGAGCGTTCAGCAACATTTGCTCATGTGATCATATTCACCTTTGATCGATTTTAATTTAATCAAGTGGGTGCGCCACAACAGTGACCTTGCCAAAGAGTGACTTTGAATATGCCTATAAGAAGGGGACAGGCCAGATCGTAGTTAGTGCGTGAAAGGTACACCGAACCGCGTTATTCACAGATCGACACACCGACTCAGTGATAAGTACGATTTAAAAGTTCGGCATCCACCCTTGCACGCACTCGTTATTAGCTTTATCCATCAGGCTCGCAATTATCTGCCAACCATCTTGAATGGGTACGTGAATGTACAGATCATGATCCAATTCTGGACTGACGTACTTATATCAAAGGGCGAGCTCCATAGCTTGGTCTTCTATCTTGATTTTGCTCGAATTACGGCACCAACTTTGCCAACGGAGTGATACTAGGAAGTCGACATTTGCAAGTCAGACATTCTGGATGTGGTTGAAGTTAAAAGAGTAGCTGGCCTTAGTACAGAAAGCAACTTTAAATCGTACGCTGCATAGCGGGTCAAACACATATTGATCGACTGTCTACATTAGCTTCGGTTCCTACATCTAAATCTACGTCGTGGGCGACAACGGACTCCGCGTATCACCATTGCCGCCAAAATTAATCAAGAAAAATATGTGCACTTAGTTCCTCCGTCCGATGTTCAGCGACGTTTATACTTAGTCCAAGACAGTACATTTCGGTGAAGAATGAGCGATCTCTTCTGCTTGAGGCTTAGCCGCTCTGCGTCTCTATGATGGCAGCAGATGCTTACCGAGCTCAATTGCTCATCGTCCAAATCCTTCCACTCGACGCCATCCTGTCATGTAGCGCCAGTGTCTTTCGTCTACTTCTCTCCACAATTATCATCGTCTAGGCAACAGCTTCAGTTTGCTCGGTATTTGCCACAACATCAGGCTCTCCGGCAACATCAGATGTACCAGCTACAACAGCTGTCCCGCTAGTTGCGACGACTTCGACCAGCTTGATAGTTGTCGCATCCATCTTCATCTCGACTGGCTCAATAGTCTTTTCGTCCACAAGCCCTTCAACGACATCCTTCACACCAGGCTCAGTCATCGTCTCTTCGTCCACTGGCTCAGCAACCTCCTCGTCTTTCACCAACTCAGCTACCAACCTTTCCGTGACAACATCAATAACCTCCTTCTCCGTGATCGAACCGGCGGCCGTCTCTTCCAGTGAATCAACCGACTGCTCCGCAATGACATCGCTAGCCTTCTCCTCCTCTAGCGGCTCTGGACTCTCGCTCACAATAGGCACTCCGGCCTTCTCCAGCTGATCCACCTTTCGCAGCTCCTCGGTTTTCTCCAGCTCGGCGACGTTTGCCGGATCAGTGACCTTCTCGTCTACTAGCTCAGTGGACTCGTCCTCCGCAACAACCTTGGCAGTCTCCTTCTCCTCAATTGTGTCATCAAGACCCTCTTCCTCGGTAAGCTCCGCAATCGCTTTCTTCTCGACCGACCGCACATCAACCAGAGACTCGACAAGTTCCTTCTCCTCAAACGACCCAGCAGCCATCCCCCTCAAGTAAATCATCACCCTGCTCCACAAGAATCTCAGCACTCTTCTTCTCAATCATCAACTCCACTCCCGTATCCACGTGATAAACCAGTTCAACCACCTCGCTCTCCCCACTCGATTGACCATCTTTCTCCTCCACAACCACCTTCTCCTCCTTCACCAACGCTTCAAGAGCACCAACCTGCGTCACGTTCGCTCCAACTGCTCCAACCTCAACAACAGCCTCACCATCTCCACCATTGTCCACACTCTCCTCTTCCACATCCAGCATCTCTTCCCCCCTCTCCTTCCCAGCCTCCACCTCATCTCCCTCAATCGTATCAACCTGCTGCATCTCCCCACTTTCCACCGACTTCACCTCGAGAGCCGGTTCTTCCGCCCGGTCCACCCGATCGTCGCTCTCTCCCACATTGTCGTCCCCTCGTTGCGACATCTTGTCCGACATAACGCGCATAGACGCGACATTCGGCTCCGTCGTTGCACTCGTCGGAGCACTCACACTCGGATCAATGAACGAAATGTTGAACGACGAAAAGTTCGCACGGACGCTATCGGGCACGTCAACCGATACGCTGTCCGGAGTCACAGAAGCGTCCGTGATTGGCTCTGTGACAGGCACTGGTTGCGTTTCGGGAAGCACTTGATCCTTGTCTTCTTCCTCTTCTTGGTTCGTATCGTCAATGGCTGGAGCTTCCTGGTCGTTCTGGAGCTCTTCGGTTGTCGTCTTGGACGCTAGAGTCTCGTGGTCAATCAAAACGTCTTTGCCCTCTGAAGTGACTGGAACGGCTGCTGCTGTCGGCACTGCGACGTCCGTCGCTTTCGATTGGCCACACCCCATCGCAGATTAAAAGGAACAGAGAAAAGACACGTGAGTGAATGAGGTCGAGATGGTAAATGTGAATATGACGTCCGTTGGTGGTGATAGCGGTGGTAATGACCGTTTTTTGTGCAGACGAGTGTTACTTCACGTCGAGTGGGGGCGACATGTGGCGACGACAGGACGACGGTAGAAGAGAGAGGGCAGCGATGGCTCGTGGCGGCTCGTCTGTCGCCACTTGTCGAAAATAGAAACAGATGGTATGACTGCGTAGAGGTCTTAGCCAAAGAGGAACCTGGTTGTGGAGTGCGTGGTGCTTTTTACATAATTGACAAAAGAGGAGTGCATGCAGTACCTGTGTGTGTGGGGGGGGAATATTGGCAGACATGTAGGCGTGTATACACGTACATACCTCTTGCAGATAGCGATTAGAGTCCATCTTGGTGGCATAGACTGAGGGCGCCCATCCCCTTGAGCCGCAGCTTCTTCTCCAAACTCTCGCATCTGGTGATCCAAAAATCATGTAGCGGCTGCTAATCGAGGCCATGTACGGGCTTTGTCTCGCCAGTGTTGCGGTGGTCAGGATTTGGATATGCTGGAACATGCAAAGCGTGACGTGTCCCGACGCCGAGCGAGCGGCTGAGGTGAACCCACTGTGACAATGACGTGCGCTGTGGACGATAATGCCACAGCTTTGCTCTGCCATTCAAATGGATTTGAACTGGAAGGGAATGATATATGAAAGCTACGCCTCCAAAACTAATGTACTAACTAGTCTACAATCAGAAGAGCATTCTTATGTATGTTGCCATGTACGAGTATGTGTAATACATGTAGAGTTTGACCAGCGATAGTAGCAGATACATTGTGGATGAAGGGGAGATTTTGACCGTAAGCTGGGCACAGTTTGCCGCAAGTTCAGCAGAATGACACTGCTGAGTTTGTAACGCTGGCTTTAGCTACGCAGTTTTGGTCATCATTGGACAAGCAAGGAGCCTTCTTTCCATGACCGACCTCAACCGTCTGAGTAACATTGCTCTATGCAGCAGTAACACCACACATCTTCTGTTAACATTTCGTGATACGAACGACATACTCACGACGTGGTAGTCGACAAAACCTGCGCCTCCAACTTGGATATGTGCACCTGTTTGTATTTGCTGCACTATGGAACCACCTTGGGTTAGCAATACATCATTGTAGAGGCTCCGTCAGTATGGAAGGACGGACGTGCGTATAACAGCAGACTTTGAAGCAACGGGCTTGCCATCATGCTAAAGAACGGTCACGTCTGTTTCGTTGCGGGCGCAAAGGGCACAAGATGCGACCGATTTATTCTACCGAGCCAAGGCTCAGCCATAAGAATCGATGGCTGTGCGTAGTGTCTCTGCATTTTCTTGTCCGAAGCAGCTCATGACAGAGAAAGAAGCAGTAATTTCTTGGAGGTAGAGGTATGTACCATTACGCTCGACTGAATGGAACCACGTAGCGTCAGTTTACTGCTTTTGTTTCGTGCTGAAGCGTCTTGTCGAGATAGAAAAGACCTGGTGTGGCACGCTATGACATCCTGGTACGATCGACAGTGCACGCGATGGAACGATCGTATTGACAGTCGCAGCATAGGGCGCTCGATCATATGTGTAGGTGTGTGCCTGAAAGTCACACTCGAGACAGCGTCTATAAGTCGGTCCCATCTGAACTTCCCTCCAGCCACGACTTCTGCCTCGTCGTACCAACGCAAAAGAAAGACTCTCGTTTCTACATCAGCATACGCAGAATGTACTCGCATGTAACGAGACTGCTGATCTCCATGGTTAATCGAGATCGCCACATTGAAAGCTCGTGGTGTGATCGTGACGCTTTTCGTACTGACCTCAGCTCTTTCGGCTTCTGACATGCGACCAAGTAGTAGTGATACAGAATGCACACATGACCGACCGAATATACGCTACAGCATTTAAAACGAAAGCTAGCAGTACTTTGGTCAGAGCGGGCGTGAATAACTGACTGCATGTCGACGGGTTCTACCTGATCTCCTACAATTACTACCACGTACCGCTCGTGTTGAAATTTAGCCTACAGTCTCAACGCACTCTAACCCTACAAAAGTCAAAACAAACTCAATTTACATGCATAGAACCCCAACAATAGTCAAAACAAACTCAATTTGTATGCAATTTCAAGCTAAGCATGACCCTCTTCCCAGTACTCCTACCCATTCATTCCGCTCAATGGAAGATGAATAATCGCTACTTCGCGATAAATTGTTGAAAGGCGGCACTTTCATGCAGATCTTCATGGTCTCGAATGTAATGCAGAAAGTCGCCAAACGCTTTTTCCCGGATCTCGATCGTCTTTTTACTGCGACGGCCACGCAAAAAACTTCGTACACTTGGCTTTGGCAGCTTTGGTAAGTTGGATGCACTCGGCACTTTCATGACTTTGAGCTGCTCGTGGAGCTGATTGAATTCGGAAAAGCGCTTTGGAATTGACAGCACTCGCTCACCTGTTGCACGATCGATAGCGTAGATGTGGTACATCATCACTTTGTTTGCACGCGTAACCCCAAGGATCTCGTACGTCATGTGCTCATAAGGAATTGTCCGCGAAAATTCACGCTCAGGGGGTCTTCTCAACTTCTGGCATGTCATCAGTAACAGCCTTTGTCAAGTGACTAGCAAGTGCTGAAGTTTCCACGATACCCTTTGCAGTAGCTTCACTCGCTACTGCAATATCTTTCGTCGGGATACTGGGGGCTTCATGTATGACCTCAGGTATCCTCCTCTCCATCATATTGGACTTGTTCTGCTGACAATCACCTTCAATCTGTAATGGTTCAACCTCTTCGTCAATAGGAAGCACCTCCTTCACTACAGATGCCGAGTCACTCGACTGCTCGTCAATTTGACCCTTGGTCGACAACGAGGCATCAACGATCTCGTCGGTACAAAAGTCAGCGACAGCAGCTTCGATTCGCTCAATAAGCAGCACCACTGCTGGTGCAGCGTCTTCATCAACTTCTTGGACAGCTTTGGCAAGGTCGTCTTGCATCGCTTCATCTCCTAGTCCATTGACGGACAAAGTCGATACATCAGTCGCTCCATCGATAATTGTGATCTCCTTCGTCATACAGGTTTCCACACCAGTCTCAGCCACCTCATCAGTCCTCTCCACAAAGGTCGGGGTCTCTTCAATAGCTTCAGAAACTACTGAAGCAACTTCATTCTTGACAGCGTTCTCTTCAGCGAATCTAACGGTCTTGACCTTAACCGCAGTTGTGGCCTCAGTTGTGTCGTCTTGCGTGACAACGCTGCTATCGACTACGTCTACTGACTCGTCAACCAATTCCGGTCCCAGTGCCTCACCCCCGAATGCATTCGAAGCTTCTCCAGTCGCTTCCGATGTGTTGACGACATCTTCTGCCTCGAGAGTCAACTCCTTCACAACAAGCTCACCAAAAGACACTTCCGGCACAAGGATCGTTTCAGGGGTACCACCACCACCATCAACATCATCGACCACCCCAACTTCCTCGCCACGAGTGCTCTCCTCACTCTCGTTCGTGATCGTAGTTTCTTCTCTCTCAATAGTGACCATAGGCATCGCATCAGCTTGTGCTTCCTCGTTCACCTCCTTCGATGCAGGAGCTTCATCGACCTTTGCCACTTCATCGTCTGCCAAGCCTTCCATCCCCTCCTTTTCCTCAATCGTGTCCGCTCCAAGTGACTCATCCAACTGCTCTTTTACGTGTGCTGCAGTCCAAGAAGCGCTTCTACAAGACCACGTCCAAGGCGGCGAGGGAAGTACCGAAGAATCACAAGCAGCACGAAGTGAATGCGTCCGTGCGCTCGCTGCTTCTTCAGCATTGCATCTTGCAAGGTGCTCAAAGCGGCTAATGAGCATGGACACGGCACAAATAGGCCTCGTGTCAACTTCATACGGACCCCAGGCCTTCGTCCTCTCTTCTTCCTCCTCGCACTTGTTCACAGCAGGAATCACTCCATTTGCTTCCATAGCAGTAGCCGAGGTACTCGTCAATGCCAAAGTCTCCGATAAACTCTTGTCCGACTTGGCGTCTACAACGTGACAGTGGCCACGTGCGAGGTCAGCACCAGCTGCCTCCTCGTCAGCACGCCAGTCCACAACCCCTCCATCCTCCATCGTCCGTACGTCCTCTTCACTATCCCCACTCTCATCTGCCTCAAGCTCCGTCTCCTCGGCGCTATCCACGTCCAGCGTCTGCCTATCTCTCAACAGTAAACTGGTGCCTTCCGCGTGAACCGCCTCCTTTCGACACTTTATCTCCATGTCAACGACCGCAGAGTTGTCCATCCTCGCTCTCCTCGCACCTGGAAAGGATCTTGAAGAATGCCAGCAGAATCTTCCTGCAGCAATTACAACCGCGTGTCTACTGCTTCGTCAGTCAGTCCGGACTTCAACGACAGGCGCTTCAACGTCGTTGCCCGCAAGAAAAGATGAGGAAAAAGAGAGAGAGAGGAGAGAGTGAGACCTACCACTCTCTTCCGTCTCCGCTACGGCACACACGGTCGCCTTTATCGCTTCCTGACGACGTCACGATCGATTGTCCAGCGGAACGGCGAAAGCTGAACCAAAGGACACCGTCCAGACCTTCAGACGTAGCACTCCACGCTGCTTTCGTCGCCTCTTCTTCGTGACGGACACGACGATTGTCTCGTCGATGAGAGTTGGTGCATCCCCATCCTTTGACACCAGCAAACGGGCTGCCTACGTCAACCTACTGCCAAAAATCGTCAGCTGAATAGCACCTGCTAGGTTGAAAGTTCCAGGTTGACAACTTCCTTCCTTCGACATCCTCGTTGCTACCGTTGCGAGTCAAGTTGAGAGACGCGATCAGAGCCACAGAACTGTCGGCTACGTGCTCTCTCGAAGTAATGCTCGCAGTCGTAGCTCGCTTCATTACGAACAGAAGCAGTTCCTTCGGTCCCTTGACTCCCGCAACCGTCAGAAACATTCCTCGATGTTTCTTCTCCCAGCTGACCGATCGATTGACCTCGATAGCCTTCATGCGTTTCAGTCCGTCCCAATGCAGACAGCTTCAGTAGCGTTAACATACGCCAAGTCTCCTTCCTCTACTTGAGATCAATTGGGAAGCCTTCAGCCCGAAGTTCCTAGGCCTTTATCTACTTTCCTAGCAGCTACCAAGCTATCAAGAACCTCCTCTCTCCGCTTCAATCTCTGCCCTTGCTAAGGTCTTTTCACTACTGTAAAGTGGCTGTGGCAATTGTCGTGCGAAATCGGGACGTCAATGAGACTAGATAGGTGCAACAACGGGAGAAGTGAATCAGCTGTAAGTGGTAGAGTTGTTCCAGGTCTGCCACGTTGACCGCAGCCATCGGATACAATTCCGTTCGTACTTGGTGGCGGTACAAACGTTAGCCGTTTCAACCTCTTTACAGCTGGCATGCACTAGGTAAAGAACGCTCACAATGCAGATATGCAGTATCAATAAAAACACACACGAGCTGTCCTCTCTGACTGGCACATGTCGATGAAGTCTCATTCAATGCGAGACTGGTTCCTTTCAGAACGACTTCAAGTCAAAGCGTAGTTGACCTTCCTTCCTGTGTTATTACCTACGCGCAAGTAGAGTCGCTGCGACTGCAGCAGCGACAGCCACCGCCACGGATGATACCGCGTAGCTGTTGTTGCGAATGTGGTCAGGGATGCAACTCAGCGAAGAAGTTCGTGCCTTGCTGTCAGCAGCTTCCGTGGCTGCCACGTCCCGATCAATCACCATCGTCTCGTCGATCTCAGAGTTCGGATCCTCAACCACCGATGCAGCACGAGTGGACTCGACTACCTCCACCGCAGATGCCTCGAAGCTCTCCAGCTGAATGGCTGTCTCGCACTCATCATGCGTAATAGGAAGCTTTGCTGCTACAGAGACTCCTTCCGCTTCCACAACCTTTTCCTCCATCATCCCTGTAGTCTCGACCCCTTCTCCAGACGTTGTTAGAACCTCCTTTTCAACCGCGTGTGCTACAGCGACACCTCCTTCCTCGTTCTTGACAGCTGCAGCAACCTCCTGCTCAATCTCCACCGAAGCAATTACCTGACTTACCTCTTCTTCTTCTGTCTCAACAGTAACAAGCGAAACAATCGTCTCTTCCTCAATCAAACCAACAGCTTCAGTTTCCAACACACCACCTCCACCTTTCTCAGTCGCTTCCGTAGCCACCCCTTCCAATGCCGTCTCTTCTTCTTCCGTGTCACGCGCGACTTCCACGCTCGTCGAATCCAACGTGGCAGCAAGTCCAGCAGCCAATACAAACGTCGACCGTGGGACGGCCAACTCGTCGTCCATCGGAACGTCAAAGGTCAGAGATCTCACCACCGAAGCTTTCGTAACCACTCGATCAGCTCTTCGATGATCTTGGGCGATAGGGACCACCCAAGCAGTCTCAACGGTGTCAATAACATTGCAATAGTACCAAGTAATTGGCTGCATGCTTCTCATTCTCGTTCGTTCGTTGATCTGTTTGTTGGATCGTTTGTTTGTTGGTGTCTTCGCTTCTGGAGGAGAGCAAAAGTCAAGTGCTTTCGACTTCCAGTGAGCGATTTTGGCACAACTGGATCAACGAGAAGGTGAAAGAGCTCGAGCGACTGACGCAGGCCGACAGATGGATGATTGGCATGCGTGAGACAAACGGGTCACCGACCTGGTTCAGCCGGAATTTCGAGCCAAATTTCACCGGCACAGTCGGTCGGCTCGAAAATAGCACAAATAGAACGGACAAGATGATGGGGACTGCAAGTCGAGTTGTATCACATTATTGCAGCTGGATGCGTCGATATTGTAACTCGCTTACGAACACTGCAGTCAAGTAAGTGCGAGAAGCAGGAGGTTGTTTGACGGAGTTTAACTTATAGGACAAACGACATGCTCAATGGACACGTTCGTACAGCAGATTTGTGCTGGGACTACATAGTGAGCTGAAGCACTGACACTAACCAGGACTAGCCAGTCAATCAGACAGTCAGTTAGTCTGGCAGTCAGGCAGGCAGTCACTGGGCGAGAAAGCTCTGGAAGACACTGCTCTCGTGCAGCTCTCGATACTTTGCAATGTAGTGCAACACATTGGAAAGCTGCGCCTCACGCTCTTGGATCGTTTTCTTGCTTTGTCGACCTCGCACAAAGTGCACGAGACCTGGTTGAGACAGCTCGGGCAACTTGTCCGCAGTAGGCAGCTTGGTCGCCTTCAACTGCCGGTACATCGCACTGAATCTGGAATAACGACGTAAAAGTGGAGCGGACCTCTTCGAGCTGTCCAGCACTTCCTCAGTCATGCACTGCACGCGGTACCACACGACACCGTTGTTCAGTGAAGTGCCCACGATCGCATACGTCAATGGGCGATGGCTCAGGATGGGGGCGCTGCAAGAGTGCGGCGTGTTCCGGCTCAAGCCCGTGCTCAGCGGCTCGAGTTGCAAGCTGCTCCTTTTCACAAGAACTTGTTCATCTTGAGTCTGCTGTTGTTCTAGAGCTATTGTCACGTTGACCACCGCTGCCTCAATGATCTCCTGCACAATAGCCACTGCATCTGCTTCGATGACTTTGCGTCGCATGAGCTCGTAAGCGTCGCTCTCTTTGCACGACGTCTCAATGACTGCATGACGAGACTCTTCACTCGATTCAGAAGCCGAGTTACAGCTTACCCCTTCAACGTAGTGGCTACTGTCGGACGCGTCCATTGACTCGATCACTTCCAAGTCACTTCCTATGCTGCTCTCCCCATTCTCCGTCCCTGACGACGATGACAACGGAGACGCATCCGCTTTCGTCGCAGTAGAACCGCTCGCCCTTCCGTTGCCTCCTCCTTTCCGGTTCAGCCGTTCTTCTGGAATCGGAGTCAACTCGACAATCGGGTCGCCCCCGACTATCAAAGCACTGGAGAGAGATCCCGGGGCTCTAGCAGGCGAAATCGGTTCCTCGTCAGGGGCATACGACACATCACCCAGACTCGAGTGGGTGCTGCTCGTCTCGGACGCCTGAATGTAGGAGAAGGTGAAGGTGCGCACCATACCATAAACCATCTCGCCATCCGAGCTGCCAACCAAGTCGGCGCTATTGGAGACGACAAAGGACGGGACGTCGTCCTTAGGCTCGTTGTTGGTGCGGGACCCGGTCGTGGAGACGCCTGGCTGGGTGAGGTCCTTGGCATGGAACGACGGCGTGGACGGTCGTAAGGGTATTGCCACGCTATTGACGCGGTAGGAGCGCGTGGAATCCGTCGAGTGGATGCAACCCATGGACAAGAAAGCAAGCGGTACAAACAGGAAGGTGAGGTGGAAGAGTGGGTTATGTGTAGACAGACCCCTGTAGTGGTGCAGGTGATGGCAACGGACAGGCGGACAAGGGCGAAAGTGCGAGATAGTAGAGACGTTGCGGTGAGGGATGACAGCGTGGAGTCGGACAGGCGGCGGAGATGAAATGGTGGGAGATCGGATGCAGGAAGGAACGAGCGAACGAGCGTTCGGTTGGGGTGCGACACGAGACTGCAGCAGGAGCAGCAGGTGGTGGTGGAGGTGATGGTGACAGTACGCGTTTCTACTATCCCAGCCGTTGGGTGGGTGACTCGGAACCGAGACACCTGGATGTGCAGCCATGGTCTCTGCCGGACAAACCCAACTGGATCGGGAGGTAGAAGCACTGAAGGAACTGGACGATCGGAGTGTGTAGCTGCTGTTGTTGTTGTTGTTGTTGTTATCAGCTGTTGCTGCTGCTATTGCTGCCGGGTTGTCCTCCTACCAGGAAGCTCAAATACTCTGTCCTGTGACGTGCTACCGGGTGTCTTGCCACAGCGTTTAGGATCGAGGTAAACTGCTTCTCACGTTCTTCTAGCACCTTTGGATCGTTGCGATTACGCGCGAAGTACGACCAGATTTCCGGGGTCCGTGGCATGTCCGGTAAGGCCTTTTGCGGCACGACAGTCGCGTTGTCAGTAGCACCGAGGACCTCCGAAAGCTTAGCATGCAGCACCTTGAAATCTGAATACCGTTTGATGATGTGGAGCTGAGCTGTCGGGTCTTCAGCGCTTGAGCCGCAGAAGTGGTAGAACATGACGCCGTCGAGATCAGCGCCAACTTTGACGGCGGTGAACGTCAGTATGCCACCTGGCAGCTGTTTCAACTTGTCTGGAGCTGAGTGCTCTTTGACGTTGACGTCGGTGGCTTTAGGAGGTGAACGATGTTCGTGTTTGAGCTTGGAAAGCTGCGGATTGATCTGCACGGGCCCTACGTCCCGCCCTCCTGGACGTTTGGCGATCAAGACGTCGATAAAGGGGGACTCAACCGACTGCGTCGAGTGAACACAGCCCATTGAAGTGGACTTGGGGTTGATGTCAGTCTAGCTTGATGCAGAATCGAGAATGAGAGGAGGAGATGATTGCTAGCCCTGGTTCAGACCATATGCGGTTAGAATCTGCTCCTCTTGGAAGCTAGCTGTCTCTTGAGACCAGGCAGACTAGACACAGGATGCCACTGACACAAAGAGGATGCAGTAGGGAAGACGCTTGAAGTACATGCATTGTTGACACAGCAGCTCAAAAGCTCTCTCTCTCTCTCTCTTCCTACTCGATGAACCGAGTGAACAACTTGCTTTGGGAGGCAATTGGGTGACTTGCCATCGCGTTGAGGAGCTTGAGAAACTGAGCTTCACGCGCCTTAACGACAATCTCATTGCCCCGACCGAGCACGAACGTGACAGCATTCGCTGGAGGCATAGAAGGGAGAGTCGAAGACATCTGGCACTTGTCCTCCTTTCGGATCAACTTGCACATGTCGACGTACAGGCTTTTGAACTCCGAGTAGCGCTTGCACACGTGGATCTCCTGGTGACTGTCTGCCGGGTTGAAGCCGTCAAAGTTGTAATAGGCAATGCCGTACTCGTTGATGCTCACTTCGCCTGGCACGAACTGGAGACCAATGTCCGACCACGTGGTCTCCATGACCACAGGCAGCTTACCAATCGAGGCAGCGTCCTTCTTTCGGGCGTGCGTCTTTGAGTGAGTGCAGCCCATTTACAATCGAGTTATGGAATGGACTTGAGGACGAGTAAAGAAACGGGAGAATGACTGCAGCAGCTCCATTCCATGTTGTCCATCCTGGGCCGTAGCATGTATAAAGCTCGGCGTGCTCGTAGTGCTCATTTTTCTTCAGCCCAGATCATTTGAACGACACTTTCCACACATTTCCTCGCTCTCTAGTCGAACCATTACGACCGCTGCGGTCGAATCGTTCCACGACATATATCCAGTCGTGAAGTCGAACCACACATGCTACTTCAAAGCAAGTGATGATGATGACCATGCCAAGGGACGACAACGTCTCAGGGACTTGTTTGCGACGTGCTCTTGTCCCATTACAAACAAATGGAGCCGTCTCTTTTGCAGATTGTACGTCGCGTGAATTACTTCGAGCATTCAAATTCAATGGTAGGTAATGTAAGTGCAGTACGCGCTCTCTAGCTTCAATGGTCTATGGATATCTACGCCAAAAAGGCCTTGAACGCGTCGCTCTGAGAGGCAGTTGGATGAGCTGCTATGGCATTGAGCAAGGCGGAAAACCCCGTCTTGCGGTCCTCCAGCATCCTTGGACTATTGCGTGCCTGCAAGAACGGGGCCTTAGGCAATGCCGGGAGGTCTGTAATCTGCTCGTCAGTGAGCTGCGCATGCAGAGCTTTGAACTCCGAGTAGCGCTTTGACACGTGCACGTCGTTCTTGCTCGACTCGCTGCTGAATGAGGAGCCGTCGTAATTGTAAAACGCGACGCCATTGTCGTCAAACGTCACGTCTTCTGCTGTGAACGTGAGGACGGAGCTTTCGGCCGGCTTGGTCTCGCTCACGCGTGCAATTGAGACTTCCTCGGACGTGTTCTCGTTGACTGGCGCTGCTTCCTCTGCAGTAACGTCGACTGCAGACTTGGATACAGACGCATCCTCTTCATCAACAGACTCTGCCACGTCGGTCACCTCGTCTGGCTTTGCTTCAGTAGGGACGTTCTTCTCCCCAACTATTACATGTGCTTCCTTGACCTCTTCGACTGGGATGTCATCGTCTAGTGGAAGAGCAACCTCGTCAACCAAAGCTGGTGCGGATGCTTCTGCTGACTGTTCCACCACCTCTAAATCAGCTTCAGCAGCAGGAGCTTCCTCTACCTCAACACTCTTTTCAACAGCTCTGTCCGTGACAGCTTCTCCAGTCTCGATTCCCTCTTCAACAGCTTCAGCTGGACCAGCTATCTCAGTCTCCACAATCTCTTCAACAGCAGAAGCACCAACAGCCTCCTCGATCTTGATAGGCTCCTCACAAGCTGTTTCCGCCTCAGCCGACTCGTTCTCTAATGGAACAGCAGCAGCTTCAACTGTACTGACCAAGTCCTTCACGGCTGCAGCATCAGCCTCTGTGTAGACAAGATCTTCCATAGCTGTAGCTGGCACAAGTTCCTCGACCTCAACTTCCCCTTCAACAGCAGCAACAGCTACTTCAGCAACTTCCTCAGTCCCAGCCACCTCGTTCTCAGTTGTAGCCCCATTGACAGTTTCCTCTACCTGGAGAGGCTCGTCAACAGAAACAGCACCAGCTCCCTCCACCTCAATAACCTCTCCACCCTCTTCAACACCAGCAGCTTCTTCTTCCACATGAACTGCCTCTTCATCAGCATGAGCTTCTTCAGCAACAGCTTCAAGTGAAGCCGCGCCAGCAACAGGAACCACGTCATCTACCGTCGACTGGACAGCTCCTTCATGACTTGACCCAGCACCACTCGCTTGATCGCAAGTCCCAACTGCAGGCGGATCGACGCTCTCCACCGGCAAGACGTCGACTGCAGACGTAGCGTCGTCAGCAGCTGAGGTCGAGTGACTGCAGCCCATTGTAGTACAAACACAAAAAAGACTCGAGATGGAAGTCCGAGTGAGAGAATTCGATAATGAGAAGCCAGCCACGAAATGGACAGTCTCTGCTAAGCTCGAGCTCTCTCTTGACACACACATGGCAGCGGTAGAGACTTAATAAACATCGTACCTACCGACATGTAGGTCCATCTATGCGTACTTGCATACATAAAATGGTAAAAGAGCGGCCGAGTTGACCGCATCTTCTGTTAAAAGGCAGCTGTCGAAAGAGTACACTCGGACGACGGCAGGAGCCACAGCTGGCTAAGCGACATTTGGTCACACCAGAACCCACGAGCGACCAGGTGACAGGAACTTCTTGTCTACCCACCTGCTGTTTACAATGGGGCGACTATTTTTTTTGCTGCTCCGGCGGCGAAATGGGTCAACGAGACGTGTTTTTATTGTACAAGATTTGGAATTGTTCCTATCTATCGGGTCGACGTCGAGTGGGTGCGAGGCATAACCTGCCGACCAAGTGTCGCTCGGTCTTGAGGGTGAGTGTATGAATCCAACTGAGCTCGAAGAGTCTCGTATTAAGCCAAAAACGCGGTGAATAGAATGCTCATCGAGCCGTCTGGGTGCTGTGCAATAGCGTTGAGCATCTTCACGAACGCCGCCTCACGGTGTTGTAAGAGAGTCTGGTCATTGCGTCCCTGCAGGAACGACGCACCGGGCAGACGTGGCAGCTCGTTCGTGGTCATGAGCTTGGCCATCTCAGCGTGCAGGACCTTGAACTCCGAGTACCTTTTCGTCAGAAGCACTTCTTCGCCCTTGGTATTCGATCCCGAGATGTTGTAGTACGCGACACCGACAGTGAAGGAGATGGTCTCGGCGACAAAAGTCCAGACAGTAGGAGCTCTTGTGCTCGCCACGATGGACTTTTCCCGCACCACTGTCTCTTCTTCCTGTGGTACCTTATCGTCATCCGCTTTTGGCTCTGACTCAACGCGTACTTCTTTGGCCTCTTCTTCAACCACGAGTGTTTCTTTGGCCTCTTCTTGAGCCACAGGAGCCATATATATTGCCACTTGTGCGTTCACATCGAGCGACTCGTTCATGACCTCGAGAGGTTCTGGAACGACCACTGTACTTTTCAGCGGTTGTTTTGCTTTCGTCGTTTGCTCTTCGGGAGCTGGAGCTGCTACTGGAGATGTAATAGCCACGATCTCTTGTTCCTTATTTACGATAGTGTTGTGCTCCTCTACGAGTGGGACGCTCTTGCTCAACTCATCCGCGACGAGCTCCGTAACGACAATGTCCATTGAGGTCTTACCACTTTCGATCGGGGACGGCACGACCGCCCCTCCAACGACATCGTTCATTTTCGAGTGATGGCAGCCCATGATCAAGTGAGAAAGAAGGTATCGGCGGACAGTGGAAAAAGCTGGAATGAGCTTAAAAGTGAAGTAGACGAGCTACTGCACATATTATGGGCCATGAAGTACAAATAGCTTCCCACTGCGACGAGTCGACGAAGAAGCTGGTACTTCGATCATCAGCGAAAGTGGACTGACCGTTTCGATACCCTAAGCCGTTATTTTGGACTCCTAGAAACGGCGCGTTTCCTCTCTCTAGTTATAAGACCTCTCTATACACATAGTCCTCGTGCCACAAGAGGTCACGTTTCTCGTGCTCACTAAAAAGTCGCCTCGAGTCGTTTTTGCAGGCGGCAAGTAACCGCAAGCGAATGGCTTGCCCCGTTTTTCGTTTGCAAGAACGAGCTTCGAAGAATCTATTTGTGTAGCCAATTTCGGAGCGTCACAGCAGCATTTGAGACGAACTCATGATTGCAGGCATGTGAGAAGGTGTAGTTGAACATCAACTTGGCTTTTCTGAGAGAGAGAGAAAGAGAGAACTCGTCAAAGGAGCGTATGTCGTTGTCGACAGAGTTCGATAGAAGTAAATGAGCTGCTGATCAGTGGCTGAGCTCATGAAGACCATTAGAATTGCTACTCTCTGCACTGACCTTATCTCCCGACGTTTTTGTCAAAGCTGACCGCACAGCTCGATATGTACATACGCGTCGAAACATCGTCCGTTACAACCCCCCCCCTGCACCCTTCATCGCAGTACCACCCTGAGACGCAATGAATGACTGCATACGTCTTCGCATCCACTCGCTTAAAGCCTGAGATGGCTACAGAAAGAGGGAGAGAAAGAGAGAGAGAGAAAAAACGCACCTACTCGTTGACCCGAAAGTCCACCATCGAAACTTGCCAAGTGATCGCACTTACGGACAACCGGTCAACACGCTGTTTCGACGGTACCCCATTCATGGTACATACCAACCGGTATCAACTCGGTATGCCGCCGAATCGGGTGGCTGGCCTTGTCCCTTTAGCACGCACTTGCGCCAGCCTCTGACCAGATACATTTGGGAAAAGCGAGCTCGTCAAGAACACTCACCATGGTCAAGGAAATCAAGACGCGCAACGCCAAGCGTGCTCCGGACGTCGTTGCTCGTGACTACACGATTAACCTGCACAAGCGTCTTCACAAATGGTACTTTTTCATACACACACACATTCACTTGGATAAACAAACAAACCGCCATCGACGCTTGCGTCCCTGTTCCTCTTGATAGTCATACATAGTATCCATTCTATTTCCTCCCACTATACACACTTCGTTGACAATTTTGCTCGATGGCTACATGGATGTTCTAATTTTTATCTGACTTGCGTTTTGTATTGCCATGTTACAGCGTGTTTAAGAAAAAAGCTGCTCGTGCCGTGCGGGCCATCAAGAAGTTTGCAGTCAAGGCCATGAAGACCGAGGACGTGCGAATTGACTCGAAGCTCAACAAGTTTATCTGGTCCAAGGGTGTGCGCAATGTGCCTTTCCGCGTCCGTGTGCGTCTGTCGCGCAAGCGCAACGACGACGAGGACGCCAAGGAGAAGCTCTACACGCTCGTGCAGCACGTGCAGGTGGCCAGCTTCAAGGAGCTCCAGAACGAAACTGTGGACGAGTAAAGCAACAGCAGCAACAGACTTGCGGGTGCAGGTTTCCAGACTTTTCTTTGACGCGCCAAGTGGTGACTCGAGGTGCTACGAAGGAAAGACGACCGTTTAGTGTGGACTTTATTCCTTTTTTGCCAGAAAAAGAGGGTGTAAAATTCGTATTGAGCTCCTTGAGTGTAAATGCAAGACGATCCCATCTGCAGTTTCCCAGTTTGCTGTCGAAGTGTTATTCGGTACAAGATTCCGCACAATACAGGATAAGAAGCGGTACGACATTCATCACCGCTTCATAACATGCACCGAAGGAACTTGTTGTAAACCTTCTTGTCCTGTGCCGTGCCACTTCTAAACTGCATTTCACATCCTGCTTCACCAGCACACGATTCTCGTTCGGTATCTCGCTCTTATCCTGCATATCGCCTAAAAACCAGTTGCTATTTTTCTCTTATCGTTTCTGCTTCTTCTTAACGTATGATTCGTGACTGGAACACATACTGAGACACAACGTGATGGTACATGGCCGAGAAATCGATCGATCGATCCGCCAGCTATAGTCAGTCAGTCGCCGTCAGTCCATCCGTCTACCACAACATGCAGCTCCTGCCGCCTGCATTCGACAATCAACCGACCAACCAACCAACAACCAGCGCCACCCCGCGTCAATCCCTCCCCCGTCCATATCCGAGTCTAATCTCTTCTCCTCATCTTCAAACAAAAGGTCCGTCCCTACTGCTGCTGGCACTGCACGCGCTGGCCGCCGCCACGCTCCTCGTCCGAGTCGTACGCTTCACGCTGCTGCTGCTCGGCCTTGGCCGCTTCAGCGTCAAACTCCGACAAGAAACACTCTTCAGCTTCTGCCACCGGCACGAGCGGCGCCGGTGCCGGCAACGTGCTCTTGAGCACACTCAGCTGTTTCTCCGACAAGGTGCCACTCTCAGGGAACTCCACCTTGAACAAAATCACGAGCTGGCCCTTGACAAAAGGGTTGCCGTGCGTCGGCATGCCCTCGCCATGCACCGACTTGAACTGGTTGGGCTTAATGATCTCGCCCGGCCGCGTCTTGATATGCAGCACGCGGCCGTCCAAGTGCTCGACGAGCATCTCAAAGCCACACAGCGCTTCGACCAGACTCACCTTCTTTTCCATAATCAGGTTGCTGGCTTTCCGCTGGAACGTCGCGTGCTCCTTCTCTTGCACGACAAAGATAATGTCTCCCGGAACAGTCCCCGGCGCTTGGTCTGCTTCCCCGGCAAACGTGATGCGCTGGCCATTGCGCATGCCCTTCTCGATGTGCACCTCCAGCACCTTGCGCTCCTTCGTCACCTTCTTGCCCTTGCACGCTTTGCAGCGGTCGCTCTCGCGGATGCTCTTGCCCTGGCCGCGGCAGTCGGGACACACGCTCTGCATCTGCTGCACCATGCCCGGCGCAATGTGGCGCAGCTGCACGCGCATGCCGCGGCCTTGACACGAGTCGCACGTCTTCTCAGCACCTTCTGCGCCGCCGCGGCCGTCGCAGCGACTGCAGAGCACGTCGCGGTTCACGGCAAGTTTCACCGTCTTGCCATTGTACAAATCTTCAAGAGAAACTTTCAGTGGGTGGGTTAGGTCTTCGCCTTTTTGTGGACCACGTGGTTTTCGCCCCCCTTGACCGCGGAAAAACTGACTAAACAAATCACTGGCGTCGCCCCCGGCCGCGCCGTTCTGCAGACCTTCTTCGCCGTATTGGTCGTACAAGTCGCGCTTCTCTTGGTCCGAGAGCACCTCGTAGGCGACCGTGATGGTCTTAAACAGCTCGGGGTCGCCGCCCTTGTCCGGGTGGTTCTTGAGCGCGAGCTTGCGGTACGCCTTCTTGATCTCAGCCGTGGTCGCGGTCTTGGCCACGCCCAAGGCCTCGTAGAACTTGTTGTTGTTGACGGGTTTCGACGGGCCGCCGCCACCGCCACTGGCGCCGCCTTCAAACCCGCCTCCGAAGAAACTCTCAAACCCGCCACCAAACATTGGCACTTTTTCGAGCGGTTGGACAAATGCGGAATGGGAAACGAAAAAGGAAACGAAACGACTGGCGTTTATTCGTGTCCCGTCTTTAACGCAAAATCACAGACCCCAAAATCACAGACCCGGAGAGCGAGAGGGAGACTGACACGCGACCGCACTGGACTTCGTTAAGGCGCGCTGTTGCAATTGGTTGAGTTTGGGCAATGCTGGGGGCTCGGGTGTATGTGTGGACGCCGCGGGTCGTGACTGGCTGTGGGGGAGACAGGGAGAGATTGTGGTGTGGAACACACATCGACAGCGAAAAGATCGGGCATACTAGAACGCAGAGAAAACGTCTTCTCGAAGGTTCTTTGAGTCGCGACACGACCGACCTGGACGACCGACCGGGAAACGCTGTTGACGCAATCCATGCGGTTTTAGGAGAACGCACGACGATTCTAGAAACAACTAGCGCCACCCCAGCCTTGCGCTTTCATGTGAAATGTAATAGGAAAAACTATCGAGAGCGATTGACTCAATCGAGATGTTTAACAGCTGACGAAAAAAGAAGAAAACATATCCAACGACAACACAGGCCCAAAAAACGATAACGCTATTCAACCATTTCTTCCTGTCAAGATAAACGGTAGCTACTAGAAAAAGACGTCACGGAAGTCCCAACGAGGCTACGCATCATCTATAACTCACTGCAGTCCAACGAAAGCAGTGCTGTCGTTCAGCTGCTAATGACTTGCCAAAAAAAATCTCTGACAGCTTGTCAATACCGCCGATTAGCTTGGTCGTACAAGTGCTGAGGTCAAATATTCGTAGCTTGCAACTCATTTAGGATTTGAGCTCTATCAATTTTTTGGCTGGTCGCTGCTGGTTTTTGCCGAGCAGTTGCTGAGTTGATGATGACATGAGCAGCACGACATGAGTGCGACCTCTTTTGTGCATTGTTAGCTACGAATTAGTCTTTACATAAAACGATTTGCACGATAGATGCTGATGAAAACAGCTTAAGGAACACTTGCAAACTGTAAGAGACAGCAAAAAATAAAATAGAGCGAAACGGAACCTGACCTATAATGATGAAAATTAAGGCGAGCGAGCCGACAAAGCGTCCTGTAGAGCTACGACGCTCCTGTACTTGTTTGCGTACATCCATGAATGCATCTTCATTTCCGCATCATGCAATGACGCTCCCGCAAACAAAAACAATAATGTCGCGGCGCTCCCAGTCAGCTAGCCATTCCTCATCCTGCCTCTTTAAGAAGGCTTGTATTGAGGAAACGAGGCCGTCAGCTGACTCTTGCTGCAGGCTGGAATACTGCTGGCCTGGTGGAACTTGTCCGCCAGGTACTTTTCGCTCACAGCTTTCGCTTTATCGCGCTGGGAATCCACTACCTCAGACTCAATCGAGTGAAGACGGTGGAGCTCTTCGACGCAGTCCTGAATATCTACGGGATTATACTTGGTGACATGGTGCAATGTAGGCGTCCATGCCTCAATCTCACCCGTGGTAACACGAGTGAGATAGACAGCAGATGCCACCAGCTTGGACGGTTTCAACCGTACCATGTGGTAATACAGTAGTGCAAAGTCACATAGGTACTGCAAAAATAAGAGCAAACAGGTACAAAGAAGTCAGATTACATCATGCTATCCATCGCTTGTCATACAGAAATCAGTCGGTCATCGCACCGACACCAATGACCGCTGCTTGTCCGTTGCACACCCTGCTTGCGTGTAGCGATGCATGAAACCATAGCAAGTAGTCGATGCGATGCGATATTCGAGTGCGCTGAGCACTTGTGCTTCCATGTCAAGCATCTGCCCACACATCCAGCACTTGACGTTAGCACACACAAGGGACATCAAATGCAGTCGTAAATAGCGTGTGTACCTCATCTGCAGTATACGTCTGGTCGGAAATATAGACAAAATCCTCGACGTTTGGACCGTAGACTTCATCGAACTTTGCGGCGATCATCATACACGCACACCCAAGCAGCTGGAACTGCTTGCGGTTGATCCGGATCTTCTTGAGACAGCGGTCCACCAAATTCACCTACAACATCACACCACAACACACGTCAGAAAAACCATGGCCAACGTAAAGAATGGCCGAGGGAGAAGACACAACGCACAGCCCTGTGAAACGTCTGCGAGTCCAGCTTGTACTCCTCGCCGACCTCGACAAGCCAGTCAATCAAGATCGTCCGCATCTTCTCGTTAATGTCCATTTGGACCGTACCAATGTAATCGGCTTCGGGCAAATACTTCGATTCGTGTTTCCGGTAGTACGTGTCCAGCTCCCGTACGAGCTTTGCGTGGTGCGAGCTCGTTGTAGCAGACGGAGCGTCAATATCACAAATAGTCGCGGCATACGTCTCCTTGTCAAAACACGACCTCTTGTGGTCGTACGTAAAAGTATACGGACGAGGCGTATACACATCCCGAGGCTCGGAAGCAGCAGTAGCAGCAACAGCAGTAGTAGCAGCAGCAGCAGTAGATGTCGTAGTGTGCGCCACACACTTCGAGACAACCTGAATTTCCCGCGTCTTTTCTTCTCGCCCGTCTTCACTCTCCTCCACCTCCTTGTCAATCAAAGAAGTCGCTCCCTCCTTGCCGAGTTCAGCATCTGCTACCGCTCCCGTCTTATTCCAAACCACACATGAAATTCAATACAAAAAAACACTCTACGATCAGCACCATCCTCACATTGCAATAATTGCAATACAACAATAATTGCAATACGACAATAATTGCAAGTCAACAATCCTCAGCCCTACCTTCACGTCCTCCTCCATCACGACCGTCTCCCCCCTCTCCTCCGTCCCCACGTCGTCCGCCCCCTCCTTCACCTTCACAGCAGCAGCTTGGAACGACAAGATACTCGTCTGGACCTTCTGATGCACGATCGACGCCTCCCCTCCCTCGCCTTTCCGCTTCTTAACGCGCGTCCCGTCCGTCTTTTTGCTCCCATAAACGCGTTTGCTCGTCTGCCTCTTAGCCGCCGCCGCCGCCGCCTTGGAGCTCTCGAGTGTCGAGAGACTGGACGCAGTCACAGAACGGCGCCGCGTCGACGCCCGTGGCGCCTTTGGCTGCTTGGCCTTGGCCTTGACTGCGGCTTCGGCGGTTGGCTCCTTCTGGACGAGGCTGTAGCAACGCTGCGACACGTCCTCTTGCGGCTGCGACATCTTCGCGGAGCTGTTGCTGATGTCCTGGAGCGCCCCGCGCTTGCGCTTGCGCGAGGCGTCGGCTCCTTTGCTCGTCTGAGAGCGGTCCATGGGCTTTTATTGCAATAGATTGGTAGGATTATTGTGATGGTCGGATTATTCCTGGTGGGGTGGGGTGGTCGCGGCTTTTTTGCGCCGGTGGTGGCGTTACTTCAGAGGCTTTGAATGTGGAAATCTTGTGTGTGTGTTTGTTTGTTTTTTGCTACGAATTGACACTGGAACTCAGAGATGCGGATCAGATGTGGGGGCTTTGGGAAAAGTAACACGGGGGGATAGAAGTGCGCGAGAGCGAGGTAAATTACCGCGGACAGACGATCGTCGACGTAAACTATATTTTGTGTAGACTGGGATGTTTATCACAAAGGCCATCGCAAAAAGAGCGACAAAAAGGACCAAAAAAGAGGAAGCGCGCGAGAAGAGCGACTATACAAGCAAGTTGCAGCGACCGTGAGAAATGATGGCGGCAGCGCCATCGTCTGGACGAAGGCGTATCCCAACCAACTATGAAGCTGTTGAGCAATTTACACATCAATTATGTTTTGACTGATGTTTCTGCTTTGCCTGGACGTGGTGCGTTTTCCCACATTTTCCACCACTCGAGCGGGGTAAAAAGTTGTCCGGATACCTGCATCGGCTTTTGAAGAAGATAGTTGGTGGAAACCATTAACATCACTAGCAAAGTGGACGATTGAAATTGTGCCGCTGGTTGCGGGTTTTGTAATATCACGATCATTGTACATTTATAATCAGCTGCTCTTACATTCAGGCACTTGTATACAAATTACAACCTACACTGATTCGCCACAGCGTTCTTGCGACAGCAAATAGTAAAAATCAGATGTCGTTCGGTTTGTACCGCATACACAGATTGCTAAAAACGCCAGGGACTCGAAATACTTGACATGTGCTGTAAGCATTAAATGAAAGCAAATATGCGAAAGAGGTCATTACTAGTGTATTTCAAAGTGGTGACGGTAGAAAGCACACGTCTTGCGATTACAGGTTGCTTAGCCAGCTATCTCGCAGCGTCAATTTCTCGTCTACGTAAACAACATGGACGCCTCCTCCCCCAATTGTCCATCTTCTTGACACTGCTGCGATTGTGGCCGCGAAAGCCGCGATTTTATATTCATTTAGGTTTGTCTTCTGCTGAAAATTCGGGAGGCAATGACAGTAGCTCACTTTTGTTGCAATGTACTTATTCATCGTTGCAAACGAGTCGTAACGTCGATGCCATATCATTAAGTAGGTTGAGTGATGTCTCGATCGAGCCTCTGGTGCCTGTACGAATGCGAGTAGCAATTCGTTTTGAAATTGGACGACTTGATTTTTATGCACTTTCGATTTTAGTCGCCCAGATACACATAAACTGTACGTTCGACAGTGTCTTCATCAGCAATGAATTTGTTTGAAGTGAGCACAACTAGTCGGTGATAGCCATCGATTTTGCTATTTCGCCGGTCGATTTTGCTATTTCGCCGGTCGATTATGAGGGGCGCGCGTATGACCTGCTGTAGGTTCGTGTCGTATTGAACATTGACTAAGTCCTCATAAATACAAATCGTGGTAGTTTGTGACCGCCTGTGGTAGTCGATAAGGCCCTGTCCATATATCCCTATGGGAACATGCTCCACTTTTGAGGCATGACATCCGTATTTAAAGTAAATTGCAAATATTGCACCAACCAGATGAAAACATTGCAAAACCCACATCAGTTGCACAACCAGCACCACTTTGTGACGGAGTTAATGTGTACCACGCTATTCCATGGATGTAGGGCTTCAGGTTCCATGAGTAGAATTGACGTAGAATAAAAACCATTATCGCATTGAGATGTCCGGCAAAACGGCAGCGATCGACTCAGGCGAGGTTCTTGGTGCCATTGGACTGGTGAAAACCCGAGCTGTACACTAAAACGAAAAAGGTCGCAGCGAAGAAATTCTACCTAGGTCATGTGTATGCTCCACTGATAAAGCTGCAGTTCATAACTCATCGCGACATTGAGCAAATAAAAATGATGGTTAGTACATTTTAGAGAAGAGTATGTGTCCATCAAACAGTCAAACTATGCTCGATGTCTGTGCTGCATAAGCCTGCATGACAAACTCAATACTCGGTTATGTCCTACAATTGTACAATGCTAAATACGTCGGCGGCGACATCAAAATGGTCACGAAGAAACACTAGTCCCCATGAATGATATTTACGGACGGTGCGAAACGGTTACTGCTCTTGAGTGCATGGTCGCCGCAGCAACGACGCGTGTCATAGTGTTTGGCATCAATAACCTTTACCACGGCCCGTCGATCACTCTGCAAGAACACTGAAGCTACCTGTGTGGAGAGGCCCGTGGCCAGCCATGGCTCCTTCACCTATGATACGAATGTAAACAAGTTCACCTAATCAATACACGATACACACAACGTTCTTAATTCACACACACGTCAATCACATAAAGTGAGAGCAGTAACGATATTTTAGAGCATCAGTAAGTCCTTATACCTGCGCCACCTCGGCTTATATTCGCTTGACCGAATAGGCATTACTTGAACATAATCATTCACTAATGCCGCACAGTCATATGCTACGGTTGTCAGTGTCCAACTTTAAATAAGACATTAAATTGTTGGTTGACCGTCATTTTCTGTGCTTTGTTCCTTTTCCGACCTCCTTTCGCATTTACAGCGACCGCGCAAGATGCCTGCCTGAGAAATCCCTCATACAGCTCAAGGTCGAGCAAGGGGCGATCTCCACCGAAAGTGGAGGCCCTTGAGAGGAGGGAACGGACGGTCTTGAGTGGCTATTGCGGATATTGAGGAAAGGAAGCTAATTAAGTGGTAGGCTTTCGCGTGGTACGCATCAATATTGTCCTGATATGGTGCTAGTTTTGCGACCGGTGCTGGTTTGGCAATGATTGCATTTTGTTGGTGCTGTATGTGCGATTTACTCTCGTCTATTCAGCTATTAATCGCAATCTTCTTGTGCAGCACATTAGCGCTCAAGCTTAAGGCAGAAAGAACTGCAAAGGCAAGGTAATGGTGAAAACGGAAACGAGATCGTGGGTGTCAGTCGCCTTAATGACCACTCCAGGGGTTCTGACCACCAGAATTTGTTAAATCTACCTTAATATATCGATCATTTGTGTCACGTTTTGATTAGGTAACTAAATGAGAAAGCTTAGAAAGTGTTAGTCACATGCATTACCTAACGCCCGCCCAAAAAAAATTCAAAAGCGACTAAGGGCAAAAAGGATGCTACTAAGCAACTTCTTGAAGGTAGCATGAATCTCCAGTCGCAATTAATGTTTACCATCCTCGCTCGATACCTAAGAAAGCCCCCAACTAAATATTTCATTCGTTGATCAGTTATATGTATTCGGTCGTACCTTATTGTTACGGCGTCCGAGCAGAAACATCCTCCGTCTCCCTTCGCTCACGTTCATTTTTCAAATAGCAGCACCAACTAATAGCTCTAATTTAAAGCATTCAAATCTCATTAGCGAAACACAATATCTCCTAGACGCTACCCACCCAAAAGAAAAAGCGAATGTGAAGAATTTGGTTCAGCTCTTTTAACTATTTTAATGATATCAAAGGGCTTGATCCAGGGCTTGCTCCTCGATCTTCTGAGCATTTACACTTTAAGAGATTGCACGACAACCTCACAAAACATTGATTGTACTTTCAAAACGGTTTCTGATCTGCTTTTTATACATCCTCCTCCTCCATCTTTCCATTCCCCTTCCTCCTCACCACATCTGACAATTTATGTGCTTTGATATCTATTTATTCATACCGGTAAGACTGTGATACGAGCTAACTGATCGGTTACCAAAAGACTACAACTTGCACAAGGTTGACTTATAAATTTTTAGTGGGATGCAGGTCCTAAGGGTGGATCATTTATGTAGAAAGTACTTCCTATTCCCACACCGACTACATCATCAAGAGCAGAAAGAATTCTGGCATCGTAATTAGCTGTGTTACTTTACTCCTTCTCATAAATCTTGCTGTACATCACTTTATACACAGAACCAACCCTGATTCCTGACTTCAGCTTTCCAGAGTGTCAGATCAGAGTCGACGTGGACAGTCATGTCGGTATTTGATATTATCTGCTGAAATGTAACATGACCGTAACGGTTAGGTTACGTTTAACCATATACAGTTACTTGAGATCTGCCACCATAATGCCACAAGCAAAATGAATAAAGATGGATCTGCTGAATGAGCGTCAAATAACTACGACTTCGCGAAGACGTCGCCACATATGCGACCATCAATTCTGTTGTTAATAGTACAGATATATCACTGAAAAGCTTTTGTCCAATGTTGAGCTAGCACTTCATGACGCAGAAAGAATCCTCATAATTAAGCTGTGACGTTACGTACTAGCTACTTTGCTTGCTATCTAGCACACTATGTCTCTCTGTTCCTTCCGCACTTACTAGACCGACTGACTGTAGCTGCGCTACCCTTTGACCACCGCTCCAACGACACGCTTCCAGCATGTCGCCAACTTTAAGCTTCTTCACCCATCTCTGCAGCTGCTTCATATGTCGACAGCCCTCTCATGCATCAAACACAGTATCCAAAATTAACTTGAATTGAAATGTCGTGCCGCACATCACGACTGCTAAGTAGCGCTAGACATGACCATCAATAATCCTGCTTGTCCGTCGCTTACACTACGCTCACACGATGTGGTGGATTGATAGCAACTTAACCGTCTTGGCTGCACCGAGTGCTTTGGTGAGCACGTCCGCGAGCGTCAGTCCGCTCGGCATGTTCTGTGGCGCCACAAACGCCTTTAAGATCGTAGTCGGACATATAATTGACTCTCACACCCATTTGCTTTGCTTTTGTATACGATGCTTTTCCCTCAATCTTCGAGATTGCCGTCTGGTTGCAGAAATTCATTTCATCATGAGTGCAGGCTCTCACCGATCTTAATCAGCGCATCTCTCAGTATAAGTAGCATGGCATGATGACGGTACCGGTAAAATACTTTATGTCTGCTTTGTCGGCTGCGTAATTCGCATAGCTGAAGCT